GTATAAACATATTGTAAAGAATTTAATAACATTCCTGAATAAAAAAGGGAATTTAATTTTTCTAAATAATTCAAATGAGGTTACATGTCATATATCATACTTCTTACAAATATTATAATTGTGAAATTTTGGATGGATGTTTGTTATTACATATCTTCAAAATGGCTTAATGTATCTCAAGAACATATTTTGGAAGACAACTTACCTATTTTTTCCAACAGACTTAAATAGAAATAGAATTAAAGAAAAACTTGATCTCTTTACTAGCTTTCGCCCGCGGCTAGGACCGCATGAAATTGAAAAATAATAAAAAAATATAGCCTATGTTAGTCCCAGATAAATTATGTTTCCACTGTGAAAGAATTTTTTAAAGCGGCCCAATGGTTTTTGAGTTTTCCCAATACATTCAAATACATATTTAGTAGCTTTTGCCCGCGACTCCATCAGAGCGTAATTAAAAAAAACAAAAGCAAATAGCATATGTGTTCTTCCAGACTATCCTCTACATATATACCAAGTTTTAACAAGATCCCTTTAGCCATTGAGGCTATAAACTCTAACAAACATCCATCCATCTAAACTTTAAACTCTAAAACAAAGTCAAACTAACCATAAACTGGAAACCAGCCACTTAACTCACAAACAGCAACATTAAATGCAGCAAGTTGTTTTGCTCCGGAACTATTCTTTCTCGGCCATACAATTACCCTCACTATGCCACCATCTCCCGACACACTTTGACCTCTTGTTATAAATATATTATGTGCTATACACTTCTTTAATAACAAATCAATTAACTTATATATGTACTCAGAAGAATTAATAGTGTTTCGTGTTATTTCAAAACAGAAACCAGGTACTGGGTAACCATCGAGAATGTAGACTGGACCTTTTAAATGTTTACATTTCTGAAAAAAAAACATTAACTAATGAAACTTTTGGAATTTAAATTATGTTTACTGAATTTAGCTAATTACCTCCTAAAAGCTTGGAATATTTAAAAATACATTTTCATTTAAAAATGGAAGAAAAAACATAAATATATTTTTTTTCTACTTACAACTGTTTCAACTGGCAGAATATTTTTTTCTATAAATATATGGTAATGTAGGTGATTCACAGATGCCAATCCACATAGACTATTAAATCCAATTCTTATATCGCTGTAAATAAAATATCAATTGATAAAGTATATCTATCTATACTATTATAATAAAGCATTAACACACACTTTGTTGCCTAAGATGTCAGCAATTACAGCATATTTTTAAATAATTCTCTTTTTAATAAAAACCCCCACACTTGCATCACACTTAAGGCTATATATTTTAACGACATTAAACTTAGTGGGGTAAATATTTTGGATAAAAACCTTAATGTGAAAAAGAGACCATAAGTTGCTGCCAACATCAATGAATCAAGGTTGTTATCATGTCATGTCATTTTGACATTTGTAATTGATAATTTGACAAATGTAAACAATAAATTAAAGTTTTTATAATTCCATGCGGATGAAGCCGTACGAGAACAGCTAGTAATATGTATACTTGCTGCATTAGACATTTTATTATTAAAAAGGATGTTTATTATCAGAAGCAAAAGCACACTGTGTTGCCAATCACTAGTGAAAATAACTAGTTAATTATCTACAAAAATAAACTTTATAAAAATGTGTTTACTGTGTACATACAAGGTGTATTTCCATTGCTCATTGAATTTTCTACAAAAAAATAATAAAAAACATGTATTTACTTGTTCCACTCACCGATCCTTAGAACAGCACATAATGTCAAGCATCAACTGCAAACTATCTTTGGTCACAACTTGAGGTAGGCATTTGTACATTGACGGACACAACAGGGAATGATATTGAGAAATTGGACTAACATTAACTAATAGAAAATGTTCATTTAAATCTGGAAAAGAGAAAAAACTGTAAACTTAACCTCATCTTTTTATTTTTTATTTTGCATGATTTTCTAAATGTATACTGGCATTATAAAAAGGAAAGATTTGTATTTTTGTATGTATTGAAATAACTTAAAAACTACTGGATCAATTTCAGAAAATATTTCACCATTAGAAAGGTAATTTATCTGTGCGTAACATAAGCTATGACTATTTAAATTCATTTAGACAAAGTTTCAAGTAAAATATAAAAAAAAACCTTTCACAACAATATGTGACTACTCTAAGGAAAGTTATGTTTAATGTCTATATTGGAACTATAAAATTATTACTTTAGTACCAGAAGAATTTGTGTATTCTCACCTACTTATTTCATTTAACTTATTAAAACTTTTGTGAGACATTATACTATATTATTTATAACACGGCTAAAACTCACGTGGGAACTTTCAGTGTGGGCACCGACCAGTTTCGAACCCGTAGGTGGTCCTTCTTCAGGGTGAGTGGATGCCGGCTTTATTCGCTATCGCGTCGCGACGGTCACCCTGAAGTAGGGGGTCCCTACGGGTTCGAAACTGGTCGGTGTCTACACCGAAAGTTCCCATGTGAGTTTTAGCCGTGTAATAAATATTATACCATAAATAATATAATTATTTCATGTTAGATTTTTAAGCAATATAAAATAGAATAGTATGTTTACATAACTCACCATTTTCATCACTAATACTGAACATAGTTTCGTCTTTTGATGCTTTGGTAAAATTAAACTTATTTTCATCAAATGGTTGACAAATATTATCTATTTGCTCGGGTGTTCGTCTCTTTATACTTCTGTCTGGATTAAGCTGTAAGTTTTAAGAAATAGTTAAGCATAGCCTATGTTACCGAGTGATAACATATTTTTTTGATGGTGCAAGCTTTTTTGAAATTGGTCCAGTAGTTTTTCAGTTATTACAATACATACAAAATAGATAATCTACTTTTTTGGTGATTTAAAATTCAACAGTAGAAATATAAGGATTAATCCAAGCTAATAATAAAATTTAGTGCAAATAATTGTTCACTTTTACGTGCGCTCAGATTTTTTTAAATTATGTTAAACGTAAAATTTAAGGCTTAGTAAAACTTACCTGTAATAAATATTTTTCGTTAACAATCCTTTCACGTAAATTCTCTACTTTATAACGAAATACATCTGTTTCTCTATGAATTTTGTCCCATGTTGATTTATACAGTTGTATAAAATCTACGTTAACATTGCGCCCGATTTGTATTCGGGATTTAGACATTATATGTCTTTTGTTTTTAATAAATACTACATAATGTTCCACCTGAATTTATTTTCCACTTTGTCGTCAGCAGACTTAATAATCTTCTGTCATACAACTGTCATCTAAACATGGCAACAATTTTGCTTAAAATTTTCACCACTTGAGTAATTCTTTTAACGCATTGAAGGAAAATATTTAAATATTAAAAAGATCATCGATTTAGAATTATTTTTTTTAATGTTGTAAATTTTTTTTGATGCCTCGGTTTTTCCACCGAAAATTGTGGTATCAATAAATATTGCAATTAGTACAATTTGGAGTGAATGCAGTTGCATTATTTGACAAATTAGGATGATTTCCTGGTTTAAGTTAAAGATTACAATTTCATACTTTTAACAATTTTCTTTTTTTTATAGTATTTTAATGAGATTCAAATTTAAACATTTGCATTGAATAGCAGTGACATATGATGTACTTTTAGTTAATATTATACATTTTTACAATTCATTTTTAAAATTATTTGGATTTAATAGATTTTGTTCATCATACAATAATAGAATTTCTGTAATTTTTACTACAGCTCTAGACGCATCATATGAATCCATTTCTGATAATCTTTTTGACACTGTTTGTCCGATCTCACCATATTTAGTTTTATCAAGACCAAAGGGATCATTTTGCATTTTTTTAAATATGTTTACAAGATTTTCAGCAATTGCTTTACAATTAGTATTTCTTTCATGTACAAAAGTGTCTTCAGCATTATTGTCATCATTATTGTACTGATTGTGTGTTAATTCTGAAATCTGTAAAAAAAAAACATTAAAACATAATTTCAATTTTCCATAGTTATCGAAATTTACAGACACCTTAACAACAGTTATTGATAAGATTAGTAAGCAATTTTTAAGTATGTATGAATGTTAGGAAGTAGTCTTATTTACCTTTTCTTCAGATTGATTCAAGTTTAAAGAAGAATCTTTCACAGTTCTGTTCACTTTCATCAAAAATTGACAAGGTCCCCATAGGTGCCAGTTTATTTTACTTTCCTAAATTAAAAATTATACATTCAGTACAGTAATTGTCACATATCTTTGTGGTTCGGCACATTGGACAAGTTTCTGTGTGAAACAAAAGTTTGGGTGCAGTAGCATAAAGGGATGCAGGGTAAGGTTACTATGTAGTGCGAGGCTCTTCCACCAAAAATGTTTAAAACAGTAGTATGGTATAAATATACAAACTAACATATTAAAACATTGTGAAGAACTAGGGTTTCCAATACAAGTTATACATGTCGTTAAATTTCTTATTCTTTTCAAAAACAATAGGTTTAATAAAGGAATTTTGGCAGTGGGATTTAGCTATTTTATGATGATTATTGTCCGACCTCAAATTATTTTCCACTTAATTAAAGGACCTAACATCTAACCGAAATTGTAATGAAATAATCACAGAACACGGACCTCACCATTTGCGCGGCTTGCTTTGAATTTTCTCAAATAATTTGCGAAAGTTGATCTAATATTAGTCCATCGGTTTTTCACAGCTTGACCAGTAAATTTATCACCATACAGAGCTGCAAATTCCGCGTATGTCTGATCTTTGTGTTCAACAGATGTGTATTTTGGATGCTTTGGATTCCAGACATTTGGGTTGTTTTTAATAAAGTACACCAATTTCAAATTCATTTTTCGTGTCCAAAATACTTTTTCTTTTGCGAACTCCGATATCATTGTAATGAGCGACCAATATTTATTTGCTAATTAATTATGACAACTTTGATCTTTTTATTTAATGGACAGCAAAGGTTTAAGATAAAGATATAAACAAAAACAAAAACTTATTTGCCTAACTTAATGTCAAATATCAATGTCACTGTCAGTGTCAGTAGCTCAGTAGGTTTAGAGTTGCCAGTTACTTTGTCAGCGTAACAATAAAAATAATATTCCGATATTACTTTGATATTGATATTCAATAAGTACGATTTGGGCGTTTGAATCTTTCTGACTAACCTAGATTAGCACGTCGCGCAATGTCTTCACCCCCAACCTTTTAGGAAGAAGGAAAAAGTTATTTGTAAACCTAATATATGTTCTGCGCAACGACTCGTTCTGATGTTCTGGACCGCCAGGCCAGGTGTTGAACTTCCTAAATTAAAAGGAAAAGCTGATGTGTAGCATACCTTTAATCGACGGAGAAGGGGACGCACAGAAATAGGATATTAGCCAGCCATATCTATGCGTCCATCCTTTCCTTGTATCGTGGACGAAAATGGTAGGAAGGCTAAGAGGACTAAAATTAGGACTCCAGCACGTCCGTTTTCTGAAAATCGAAGTAACAACAACAGTGACTCATAATATCAGATGTAATTTCCCAATCGAAGACATTTTTACGTGTGTACTTACTAAAAAAAAAAATTGAAATAATATTCAGTCCACTTATTACTGTGTTTTATTTAAAAAGCTTTACTACACACTGTACAAGAATGCAGCCGTCATTAAGTGTGTACACACATATGTATGTGTGTGTTTAAAATAAAACTAAGAAAAGAGAGCGTTGAGCGTTGCTTAATTGGTTCTGCCTTCTGCGACAGCTATATGATACGGCTGACGGGCAGCGGGCAACGGTATTCAAGAAATCAAACCGCGTAGTTGCGCGCGAAGCTCAGTCGTACGGACGCAGTCAGTCGGTCGGTCGGCAAATGATCAGTCGATAAAGCGACCTTAACCGCTATGGGTCGCTCGCTGCACTCTTTTACCGCGTACGCGCGTCCCTATTTAAATCCGAATAGCCGCTATGCCACCACCGGTTGTCCCTTTTCGAAACGCCAACGTTCCCAAGTAGCCCCAACCGCTGCTCTCAATGATGAAATCTTCGCAAGAGCCAAACCCTACTCCGAAGTCCCTGGACCCAAGCCAATACCAATTTTGGGTAATACGTGGCGAATGGTACCTATTATCGGACAGTTTGATATATCAGAATTCGCGAAAGTGACAAAAATGTTTCTGGAGCAGTATGGCAGGATTGTAAGATTGGGTGGTTTGATCGGAAGACCTGATCTTTTGTTCGTATATGACGCTGACGAGATTGAAAGGATGTACCGGCGCGAAGGACCAACTCCGTTCCGTCCGGCTATGCCTTGTCTCGTCAAATACAAGTCTGAAGTTCGAAAAGATTTTTTCGGAGAATTACCTGGTGTTGTTGGAGTGTAAGTAAATAATGCATTAAAAGTACTTGGCTTGTAAATCGAAAGAAGTTGTCCGAGAGTTGTTTCTAAACGTCAACAGGAAATGGATTTCTTTGTAGCTATTGCCCCTTCACTTAAAAAATACTGGCATCGCAGCCTCTTTTCTTTTGTTTCAAACCAGTGACAAAAAAAATAGAAATATCATATATATTATTTTAATTTTTGTACCGTTACTGGCATAAAAGTATCATTAGTTCAGCCATTATAAAGAGAAACCCATTTGCTGACTTTCACTTCTCTTTAATTTTTTTTTTATCTTGGGTCGAATGATCGATTGTTGTTATACTTTTTCGTCGTGTAAACGATGAGAGTGAATATTATTTTTTTAAATCTAATTAGAACCTTTGACGGGAGTAAAATTATTTGTTGGTATCCTCAAAATCCACAGTTGTACTACTTAAATTGTACAATAAAGATACTACTTCGTATAAATTTCTAAAGATTTTTGTATTACATACGTGTTATGACCTATTTTAATGCCGCCGAGGCTAATGTCCCACTTAAGTAAAACCCTGAAATTAAAACAAGTTTAACCACGCGATGTTTTAAATTCTTTTTGTATTTAAAAACGTCGAACACTCAAAGTTGACAACATTAACAATGAAAAAAAGCTTGATAGCAGGATAGCAGGATTGATGTCCGGTTCCCGAGGGATACGTAGCTTTTTGTAATTTATATAGTTCGTATGTTTTCTAATACCACGCGGACGAACTATGTAAATAATAAAAAATGCTACGTGTCCCTTGGAAACCGGACGTTTTTCGGGGATGAACCTTATCCCATGTCTATTCCCACACTTTGTTTTATATCTGTACCAAATTTCAATAAGATATATTGAACCGTTGTAGAATTATCTAGTAAACATTAAAGTTCAAAATAATGCATCCCACGGCAACTGTAACTATTTATGGGATAAAAAGTAGGCTATGTGTTTTTCAGACTACGCTCTACATCTGTGCCGAATTTCATGAAGATCCGTTCGGCCGTTTGGGCTAAAAAACTCTTACAAACATCCATCCTTCGATCTAAACCTTTGCATTTATAATATTAGTAAGTAAGTATAAGTATGATTAAGCAAGAATACTAGCATTTCGCGCTTGCGTGTGTCTTTAATACTTAGCTTCCAAATCTTATTACTCGTAAATTAAATCCTCTATAAATAGCGTGTCAACATTGGTTATTCAATCCAAGGATTAGTTGAACGACCGGCATCATTCAGTTGTTTATTTTCGCATATTCAAGTTTGACTATCATGTTGTAACAATAATATTCAAGTTTTTTTTCAATACCCTGCTATAAACAAAGACAAAATCTCGTTAAAAGTCTTTAAGGGTTTTGATTTCTTTTTACGATTTGAGGCCTTATATTTTTCAAGTCTTTTTCTTGTACAATGTTATGGGAGCGTTGTGTAATTATTTTATTCCTTGTACCGTTACTTTAATCCGAGGTCGGTTTGTTCAATGGGTGATGCAATCCATCTTGTTTATTCTGCACCATAATGCACCATGCACTATGTCTAGAATAAATAAAACAGGCATGTTAAAATCTTCGTGTTAAGTCATCACGCAATGTAATAATAGACTATAATTTACCTCAAGGTCCAAAAAGACAGACCCTACATATAGGTGCGGTGTTACGCGAAGAAAAAAAACTGTGTTAACTGTGTATTCTGAAAAAACATTAGATTATCGTCAATATTGTCAGCATTAAATAACTTTCTGACCTATATTATCGTAACTTCTTGTCCTTGACAGTGCGTCCTTGTCTTTGAAAATACTACGAAATACAACAGTCATTCAAACATTGAACGTATTCACACCCGTGTCGCTAAACGTGCTAAAAATTGTGGCATTGGTGCTCAATGGAACATTTAAACAAAAGTTGTTGGCACTGCATTTATCACCTAAGTTGACAAATGACATAACCTCGTAATTTTGCCAGTCATCTTCAATCTATGGTATTTTATAGTTCGGTTCATCGACAAACATGAAGGTTTTTAATGGTATATCGCGAATATTTTAAAAACTGGTTTCGAATACTGGTTTTTGATTGGTCGCAACAACTCGGTGAGAGTAGCGGTTTTATCCGGGTGGCTGCAAATTAAACGTCGTGTTCGGAATTTAAGCATAATTTGAATAAAAACTTTTTAGTTTTTACTTTGTTTAGTACAACAATTGTCAGTTTGTATGTTAAAAAACACTGGCCACTTGTACATATCGATAAGGCACTGGTTGTTAAAGTAGGTCGTCGTCTCTAATAACAAACCTACTTAACTAAATGCATTAAGCTATTATTAAGCTAGTAAGATAACAATTATACAGCTCAAAGCATATGAACAATTTGAATTTAATTACCGACTAAAATTAGTTTACGAAATTAAGAACTCACGATTGCAGTATCTACCATTTTGGTTAATATTCATTGAGTAATTAAACTACGATTTATAAGATTGATTTTTAACGAATTCTTCAATGGACTACGCAATATATTGAAGTTATTGTCTTCCATAGCATTGTAGCGAACAGCCATGATACATGGCCTACTTGGGAACCAGGGCGTAGCGAAAGCAACGGTATTTCGTGATTATTTTGCTGATGGGATTAGTTTGAGGATCATCTTTTTTTAAATAAATAATTTTCTCTCTCGTAGATAGTCTGGTCTCTAGATATTTGGCACCAAGTCTTCAAAAGATTCTTGCATTTTATTTTAATAACCCATGTAAAAATTAAAATTATATTTGCACTCAATTTATATTTTGTACATAGTGTATGTATGGGTTTGTAAAAATGTCTAGTCATTGTTTTATATTGGGTAAAATTATGTGAGAATGTCGATTTATTTATCAATGGTATAAACGATTGCTGGTCAAGGTGTGCGCGTTCTTAAAACGACAGAAAGAAGTTTTCTTTTAAATGTTATTACGTTATAAAATTTTAATAACACTGATTAGATATAAAAGTGGTATAAATGTAAAAATATAATAATATGTTTATCTTAGGAAACCGATGAAGCTTTTGCCCTGACTTTTCTGAAGTTAAGTTACATCCTTATTTAAAAACCTTTATTTAAAGTTCAACATTACTCAGCCAATGTCTTTAGGCCATTGAGAGCTTTCTTTGTTTGTGAATGTTTCCTTTTATCGCACTTGAATCAGGGTCATATTTGGTGAAAACCTTGTTTTTTTCTGATATGATTAAATTATTATAATTTGCTATTCTAAAAAAGTGTTTTAAAAAAGATATCCAAATCCATCTATTTATTCTAATTGTTTATTTAATATTCACTGTATCTAGCCAGAATTTGACTGTTTGTGTATGGAATAAATTTATATTAAGACATTTGTCTTAAAAATAATCTACAAAAACTTTCATAGATCATGTTATAATCGTTGGTATGGCGTGATTACGGTTGCTTAATAAAATGTCCATAGTTTATTTAAATAAACTAACCGGATACATAAGTAGTCATTTGACCACTGTTGTGAATTCATAACCTTGAACACGAGCAGCATTTATGAGTAAACACGTCAGAAGTAAAGGAGGATGGACAAACATCTCGAATGTTTGTTCAAACACATATTTGTGACACGTAACTTCAGTTTGCACGTTGTAAATTACGATTATGTGTGAAGAATATAGACCAATGTTTGTTTAAATTAAATATTTTTTAATAAATTATTTCTTCCAAAATGTTACAGTTGAATTCGATAATTTTATATCGAAGAAAATGCTTTTGTGACTAAATTTGACGCGACCTACAGAATTATGATGCATACGTCTAACCCTACACAAGAGGTAGTTATTTAAATTAAATTTTTAGTACTGAATCCATTTTACTTTGTAATATTGTATTAGAATAGAATTGTACGATACGATGTTATTAAGCATTTGTTGAATTAGTAATAAATGATATTTATGTCTTTTTAATTGTCAGTAAACTGTTTTGTATTACGTTTACTATCATCGACAAGCCATTTATATAATTGTTAAGAAATTAAAAAACAATTATCTGTATATACTTCTATACTATTATAATAAAGCGTAAATACACACTTCTTTGTTGCCTAAGATCTCAGCATTTACAGCATATTTTTGAAAAATTCTGTTTTCAATAAAAAGCCCTACACATCCTTCACGCTTTAGGATTTATATTTTAACGCCATTAAACTTAGGGGGTAAATATTTTTGGATAAAAACCCTAATGTGGGAAAGAGACCATAAGTTGCTGCCAACATGAAGGAAGCAAAGTTTCATCATGTTATGTCATTTTGACATTTGTGATTGATAATTTGACAAATGAAAACAATAAAATAAAACTTTCATAATTTTATGCGGATGAAGTCGCACGGGAACAGCTAGTTAATTAATATATTACGTTAATTATTTATTTCCTTTAATATTGGAACTTAAACAAATTAGAGGATAAAAATATGGGAGGTGAGGATAGAATAGAATGGTACAATGATTTGTAAAAATCTAATATCGTGACATCGCATACATTTCTGTCTGTCTGTACGCATAGTCTCACGCTATAAGAATAGCCAATGACAACGCGTGTTCGTATATTACTTATTCTGGAAACGATTTCTTTAAAGCAACGCCGGCGACTGTCTTCGTGTTACGCATTTGTAGCGTTTGTAAGGGTGACTGTACACGGACTGCTACAAAATTTAATAATGCACAACGAAATCCTAAACTTAATCGTTGACCTATTTACAAAATTATCGAATTAATTAATAATCTCTCCATCGAATACTTCAGAGTGAGAAAATTCAGTGGGGAATCAATTGTTTCATATTTCATTACGTCAACTTACCTTAAGGGATTCTTCACAATTAGGTAGTAAGAGTGAAACGAACAACTATCTCTTTCTATTACAGGCACGGAGAACAATGGAGAAGGTTTCGTTCGAAAGTTCAACGTCCGATACTGCAACCGCAGACTGTCAAGAAATACGTGGCTCCGATAGAGCTGGTGACTGAGGATTTCATCAGATATATGGAGGACGCGAGGGACGCTAACGGAGATCTGCCGCATGAGTTCGACAATGACATACATCGCTGGTCTCTTGAGTGTAGGTATTGTTTTATATCTCTTGAGATGGACAATTAATAATAGACGTTGAAATATTTTTTCTGACAGAGATTTATAACATATCGACAAAAATTCTGTAATAAACATAAAGTGTGAAAGCATTTAAAATGTTCTCACCCCTCTTATGCTCTTTGATAAAACAGAGACATTACATTTTAATATAAGTATTACGACTAAGGCATTTTAAAGTAATAATATGCAGACACATCAAAATTTCCACTTCATATGAGTTTCTTCTCTCGATTAAAAAGACAATACATCTACAAATACAAATCTCTACGGCCAACGGTAGCTTCGTTAGTTTGGCGAATTTAAATAGCTGCTTTCTCTCTTATTAACATTGGTAAAAGCAATTGATCAAATGTTTAAAAGATTTGATTTATTAAACACAAAATATCTATAATGTGTCTGCCCTTTATAAGTTAACATCTTTATGAATATATTATTGTGTATTATAAATAAATGCATAGACAAAATGTTTTCTTAACAACTTCGCAACATCCAGCTGTGTAATCTGTGATCATTGTGTAACGTGGTAATCTTTTTAAACGGCCAGTGTTGAAAATTACATTCTAAATGTTGCATCATTGTTTTGTGATGGAATAACGATGTGTTATTTTAAGTTGAAACTGTTTTATTATTTACTTGCGACGGGCTTGGTCTTAGCACAACCTAAATAAGAATCTATTTTATTATGAGCCTTAAATGTTCCCTAAAAATACATTTTATATTATATGACATACTTTTATTCTACTTACATATCTTTCTGGTTAAAATAATTTTACTAACGCTGGCAACAATTTGTTTTAATATAATAAAAACTAATCAATTTATAGACTTTCGAATGACAACGTTTCGCAGAAACCAGTTCGCCGTAAATGTTTAAAACGATACGATCTTAGTGTGTTCTACTTCCCCTTATTAAGCACTATATTTCTTAGAAATTGCGTCTATGTCATTTACATTAGTAGGCTTGAAATGGTATAATGATATGAAAGACCACAAATTTAGAGAGAGTTCGAGTACCTAAAGTTCATTTATTATTTAATATACCTATTTAATTATATTATTTTTTACGTTACAGGTATTGGTCGAGTCGCTTTAGACGTCAGACTGGGGTGTCTATCGCCGCAGCTAACTAAAGACTCTGAACCGCAGAGAATAATCGATGCGGCAAAGTTTGCGTTGAGAAACGTTGCCGTGCTGGAACTTAAGGCGCCTTACTGGCGATATTTTCCGACGCCTCTTTGGACGAAATACGTCAACAATATGAATTTCTTTATCGAGTAAGTTTATATTAATATAAATTACAAAGGGGAGTTTATTTTTTTATACATAGATGCTTAAAAAGAATCCACTTTAGAAACATAAATGTTTTGCGGAATAAAACAATGATCTAATTTACATTACTTCTATTATGTTTTAATACTAGACAAATATCTAATCCTAGGTACCCTTTTTGAACATACTTGTTTCTTTTCTATTTCAGTTTATGTAGCCGGTATATAAACGAGGCTTTGGAAAGACTTAAAACGAAGAAAGTGACGTCAGAGAATGAACTTTCGTTGCTTGAGCGCGTTCTACGCAGTGAGGGCGACCCGAAGATCGCCACCATTATGGCGTTGGACCTTATTCTTGTTGGAATTGACACGGTTAGAATTACTATTCTACATTAATTCCATATATAAGTCCTAATGGAAAATTCTGTAAAAGTTTTTTTTTTCAATCCATTGTATATCTGAATTCTTACTAATATTATAAATGCGAAAGGTTGGATGGATGGATATTTGTTTCTGGCCTAACCTAACTGCTGAACCGTTCTCTATGAAATTTTGCATAGATGTAGAGCATAGTATGGAAGAACACATAGGCTACTTACTTTTGTTTTTTTTTTAATTCCACGCGGTCGCCGTCCAATAAAACCTGCAAACCAATAATATTAGACAAAAAACAAGCATGTATATATTAAAAATATTTATTTAACTTTACAGATTTCAATGGCAGTATGTTCCATCCTCTACCAAGTGGCGACAAGAGTTAAACAGCAAGAGAAAATGGCAGAGGAAATAAGAAGAGTGTTACCCGATCCAAGCCAACCGTTAACATACGCTGATCTTGATAAACTGCATTACACAAAGGCTTTTGTCAGAGAAGTTTTTAGGTTAGTTATCTTTATTGTTTAAACTAGCTGTTCCCGTGCGACTTCATCCGCATGAAATTATGAAAGTTTTATTTTATTTGTCAAATTATCAATTACAAATGTCAAAATGACATGATATGATGACAATCTTGCTTCCTTGATGTTGGCAGCAACTTATAGTCTCATTCCCACATTAGGGTTTTTATCCAAAATATTTACCCCCTAAGTTTAATGGCGTGAAAATATATAGCCTAAAGCATGATGTAAGTGTTGGGCTTTTTATTAAAAAATGAATTTTTAAAAAATATGCTGTAATTGCTGACATCTTAGGCAACAAAGAAGTGTGTGTTTACGTTTTATTATAATAGTATAGATAATAATAAACTAAAAATAACAATAACACGATAAGCATTATTTGTCGAATAAAACACATAGATTTTCTAAATCGGTCTACCAGAGTATTAAGGCAGCAAAAACTAAAAACTTTTTTTTTAAATAAGGCTTCATAATTTATTGCAGGATGTATTCGACAGTTATTGGCAATGGAAGAACTTTACAAGAAGATGATGTGATTTGCGGATACCATATCCCTAAAGGCGTAAGTTTTTTCAAAAAAAAATTATAAAACAATTAAGTTAAGTTTCCACTGTAGAAAAGCATGTAAATTAAAAAAAAAAACTTTAAAGAAACATAGAAAAAAAATGTATCCTTTTCTTACTAATATTATAAATAAAAAGTTTAAATGGATGGATGTTAGAGTTCCTAACCTAAACGGCTGAACGAATAGTGATGAAATTTGGATAGTTGTAGAGCATACTCAGTATATTATAAAGAATACTTTTGTTTTAAAAATACTGAACCATTTTTAAAAATTCTTTCACCATTAAAAAGCTATATTACCACTAAGTAACAAAAGCTATATTATTTTTATTTCATGCGGGCGAAGTCGCGAGCAACAGGTAGTTTCAATGATGTTTATTGTCAGGTTCAAGTGGTGTTCCCCACGATAGTGACGGGCAACATGTCGGAGTTCGTGTCAGAGCCGGAGGAGTTCCGGCCCGAGCGCTGGCTGCGCAGCGACCAGCGACTGCACTCCTTCGCCTCGCTGCCCTACGGCTTCGGGGCCAGGATCTGCCTCGGCAGGCGGTTCGCGGACTTGGAAATACAAGTTTTACTGGCTAAAGTATGTTTAGTACAGCTGAAGCGAAGCGTCTTATATTCTGTAGCAGTTCTAGGAACATACTTTTACAGGATACCTTAATATGGAAATCTTATCTGTCTATACTAATATTAGAAAGGGTAAAGATTTGTATTTTTGTATGTATTGAAATAACTCAAATACTGGTAAGCCGATTACAAATATTCTTACACCATTAAGAAGCTACGTTATAAGTGAGTATAGGCTACATTTTCATCATTTTTTAACACGGACGAAGTCATAAGCAACAGCTAGTCTTTATATTAAAGCGTCTATATGTGATGTGTATATGTTTGATTTTGTCTATCAGTTAGTGTGTCCATAAGTCCGCCATTATACCGGGTAAATCTGTAGATTGGATCGGTTTTGACGGGAAAATATCTGGAGCTTGCAGGAATATAGGCTACTTTTTTAATTCCGCGCTGAAGAAGTGTCAAGTGAACTGTAGTTATAAATGAATGTTTTTTTGCAGTTACTGCGTCGCTACCGACTGGAATACCACCACGAGCCGCTGCAGTACGCGGTTACATTCATGTACGCGCCCGACGGCCCGCTGCGCCTCAGGATGCTGCCGCGCCGCGACTGAACGAATGAATGACACACTGAACTAATGAATGAAACAATAAACGAATGAGTGAATGACTTTGTGTATAATGTTCTGTTAAGATGTTTTACATGTAAATTTAATTTTAATTAGCAATGAGGCTACTTAAAAATTATATTTTAGCATATAGTATGTCCGTAATTTACTTCTGTATTCATTGTGTTAAACAGTTTTAAAGAAATAAATATAACCTCTTATAATTAATGTACTTTTAAGAATAAATATTAAATTGAAACATTTGATTGTCGTTGCTAATAAAATATAAAAAATATCATTGTGTTATGTAATTTTGTTTATGTGTTAACGTTTGTTGTGTTGTAATAAAATGTAAATAAATGATTTTTCAAGTTTTATAAGTAAATTGTGTTATTTACCTATACTGTCTACCACACATGTGGCTAAGGTACTACCTAGAAATAAAAAATAAAGTTCGTAAAACAGAAAGTCCTAATATAAAATTGACATGACAAAGATTTTCTTTTTACGTTCCAAATTAAAAGTCTTTTTCACTCACTCACATATCTCTGTCTCACTTCGAAAAGCAATAGAAAGAGCGGTCTCAGAACTTTGACTAAACTATCGCAAACTGTTGTGCGATTGTCGATTGTTTGGCCAATTCAACTGTTTAGTTGTACAACCAAAAATCGAAAAGTGTGCTCTCTTTATATAATAAGTTAATACTCATATAAACTCATAGCAATCAAAACGAGACTAAACAGTTATGCGATATACATCATCTCTAGTTCTACATTTTTGTCTATCATAAAGGAAGTCTTAGTTCTTCATAATTTTAAAATCATAGTTTGGTAAACTTTTATTCATACGCGTAAATTTTATTATTTAAATTTATATTCATGTCCAAGAATTGAATAAAAACCTGGTAACTTACGTAAATGGGAAAAGGAAAGGGAAAATGTTGAATCATATGAACATAATAAATGAAGTAAATAAATAAAATAACATTTAGTCCTTAACAACATATCAGAAATATAACAAAGGAAAATTACCGTGTTTTATAAATACTGTCAACAAACAATTGACTACAATCAAATAGCAATAAATTCAATATTAAATTCAAATGTTTGTTCTGAAAATTTAAGTGAATCTGATTTATCTTAAGATAGTATAATTGTTTTAAAAATTAAAACACAATTTTTAATACATTATTTTGTTATCAATATTACATGTAAAGGTTATTCTAATTAAGGTTATCAAAACATGTTGGATAATGTTATTTTAATTTGTTTCGTTTATAAATGTTGAGGTACTCAAAATATACAAGGTTACAAGATCACGTTTTAAAATAATTTCCAAAGTGAATGGTAATGACCTTTCGTCGGCAGTCTTCACGGTATTCGTGATTCTGATTACGTTTCGTGATATAACAATAAAATATAATTTAAGAAAGATTACTTGAATTGTCTACATCTACCTAATCTGTGGACATTGAGATGAGCTAGGGTTGTTCCGAAAGGACACCGTCAACTTATGGTTGTTTTGAGCATATCTTAAGAGCGTGAACTAAACGAAAACTAAACTAAACTATCGCACTAACTGGTTTGATTCCTATCAGCTTATATGGAGGTGCGAACACTACTTGATTTTCATTTGTGCAAATAAACTGTTGAATTGGCTGCGTAACAATCGACAATCGCACAACTGTCTTGCGATAGTTTAGTCAAAGGTGGGCGCCCGCTTTTAACGTTTTCTAATATCTATGTACATAAATTAAATGTTCTTTCAAAATCATTACATATCAAAAAATATACCCCTATCTGTATTAAAAGCCATGTTATATGAGATTTATTTATTTGAGTACAAAATGCAAAATTCTCGTTTTAAGTTATTTTTTCCCACTTTTATAACCGACCAGTTGTGTGGTCTTTGCTTTAATCGTAGTTGTAGAATATAGTAGGATAATTTTAGTCATACAAACAACATGTATTAGAATAAAATAAAGACTTTATACGTCCGGGTTATTAACAGTTAGGGAGTGACTTGGAAATTCCACAACGTGTGAAACCCGACGGACAGCTTTGGATAATTTTCACAGGTGCGATGTGCGAATATTTGACAGCCGCTTGTATTGCGTCATCTTTTCACCATAAACTTCAAGGTTGAGTCGAAATTTTGTCAATTTATAATCAGCAATGACTATAGTTGTGCATATAATAGACATTTTTTGATTCCCATTTTTATTTTAGTCAGATGTTTAACAGCGAATACTATACTGTAGTGATTTTACTACACGACAAGACAGCATTTTTTGTGATATTAGAATCTGAACGGTTGAAACCCATTACTTGGTATAACTTGTTCCTTTAGAGAAACTTGTCTTTATAAAAAGAAGTATGAAGGAAACCTTGCTTTCCGATGGGAAATTTGAAACCAGTTAATCCGGAATCCAATCTCGCTAGAAATTTGATATTAACCGAGAAATATTAATTTACATTGGCTTTCCATGCTATAGCATATATTAATATTATTGTTATTTGATAGCTACATATTGCCTGTGAATAAAACGTTACTGTGGCGAAAAAAAACAATTGGTTCATTTCACAAAAAGTGTCTTAACGAGGATAGTTTGTATTTAGAGTGTCATGTTATAGTATATGCGTTGTAATACGATGACGTCATCCTAGCGTCGTTCTTCAACTGTTTACTAACCGCTTTGTATCATAACAGTTCATTCATACTTTCCCATTCCAATGTGTAAAAAGTATTTTTCACACTTCGTTATTACGAAAATTCTTGACAAACCATGAAATTACGTTGGAAACACTTTCTACGTTTATGTTTGGACAATCGTGTTTGATTATAATTTTATCACATACGTGTGATTTACGGACTAGATTTTGCACTTGAAAATTAGACACTTTTACTTTCAACTTTGTTAATTTTTGCCAGTTGGATGTCCTAAACACTCTTTGTGTCAAGAAAGAAGAAAGAGGAAGAAAGAAATGTCATAAAAAAAACGCTCAGATAACCACTATCACGTATGTTAGTAAAATAGAAGTTTAGATTCCATCGCCTTTCATAGTCAAAAACGAATAAGGTCGGTGTTTAGAATGAATCATACTAATATTACAAATGCGAAAGTTTAGATGGATGGATGGATGTTTGTTAGAGTTTGTAGCCAAAACGGCTAAACTGATTACAATGAAATTTCGTGTACATGTAGAGGATAGTCTGGAAGAATATATACACACTTTTGTTTTTTTTTGTTCCACGCGGACAGAGTCGGGGGCGGAAACTAGTATTGTACATATACATATGTATGGATATTTGATATTACGTATCTCCAAAACGGATCATGATAACATTTGACACATATGTAGAACATCGTCTGGAATGTTTGAATTTATTGCGTTAAAAGGATTGTTTTTTTTATATTATACTAGCTTTCGCCCGCGACTCCATTCATGTGGAATTAAAAAAAAAACAAAAGTGAGCAGTCTTTGTGTTCTTCCAGAGTATCTTCTACGTCTATGGCAAGCTTCATCGAGATATGGTCAGCCGTTTAGGCTATAAACACTAACAAACATCCAGCCATCCAAACTTTTGCATTTATAACATTAGTATGATATGGTTATATTAATTGTATATATAAATAATATTGGCAGTATCTCGTGGCCAGTGAGAGTGGTCGACATATCTAATTCGTATTCACATGGTCTCTCCTCGGATCGTTAACCCGCTTCCGAAACTAAGACACAAATTTTAGTTTTAGACTTTCACGTATCTTTTACACAATTAAGTTGGTAGAAAATCTACTTCTAACGTAAATTTAAAATTTAAATTAATGATAATCGAAAACAACTCTAACTAGTTTAACGGATTTGGCAATAATGTTGCATTGTAGAGCGAATTCAATTAAAATTTCTTAATGAATAACTACGAGTATAACCTTGATAGAGCAATCGCAATAAGACACATTAATAATATTAACATTTTTTCTTCATTTTCGCAGTCTTAGTAATTGTATAAAATACATTGTTAGCTGAGATTTAAAAAAGAGATCTGACAATGTTTATAGGACGTTAAGAGTTTAGACTGTGAAGACGGATCGTATAAATAGCTTTTAAATCACCATTGTGCTTGTCAATGTTACCTGTTGTCTGTTATCACCATCATCATCTCCCAGGCCTCCCTCATTCGCGTGGGGTCTGATTACGAGCACGTAATACGGTCGTCCGGGGTGCTGTCTCCAACTTCACTTTGGAGAAATAAATTGAAATTAATTTTTATAGTAAATTAAAATAATATCTAATAATGAACTAAACAACATTCAATACATAATAATTACGATACTAGTGATCATCAGGAGACAACATGAGTAAGAAATTATATAGGTTTCCTATTCAGACTAGATTGTAAAATACGAGTGATTGTAAAACAACTTTAGTTTTAAAAATATATCTAAAACTTTAATCTTAATTACTGTTACGACTCGAGGCAAAATACCAAGGTTTGTGGGTCGTTCCGCCTCTACATTGTTAGAAGTTTCTAACGTTAACTTTGTATTCAAATTATTTTTTTTATGCTAGTAAAATAGTCAAATGTACCATCACTTATTCATAGGTTTAATTATTTGCTGAAGTTTCTCTTTTGTTTAATAATATATTAATTACAACCACCACCCCATGAAGTGTCTTAGTGTCTCCTTTTGCTTAGGTTTCTTGTGTATTCCAAATGTAAAATAAAAAATGATTGCGTACAAAACTTTTTAACGAAGTTGCTGGCAATACATAATTGTCAACCTTCAAATATAATGAAGAAGGAAATAATATAAGGAAGAAGTAAATGTTACGATAATTATTGCTCTGAGGTAAAAGACATCAACGCGATTTGATTTCATTTAAAATTGGAACATAAAAAAAATGGAGCAGTTTCAACTCACCACTCAATAAGATCAAGCGATCGGCACATAAAAGTGTATACTCTATGGGGTCACTCAATCTATATCTAATATAATAAAACGTAAATACACACTTCTTTGTTGCCTAAGATGTCAGCAATTACAGCATATTTTTGCATAATTCTTTTTTTAATAAAAATCCCTACACTTACGTCACGCTTCTGGCTATATATTTTCACGCCAATAAACTTAGGAGGTAAATATTTTTGATAAAAACCCTAATGTGGAAAAGAGACCATACGATACGAGCGGCCAACATCAAGAAGCAAGATTGCCATAGTAAGGTTATTGGTATTTTGACATTTGCAATTGAGAATTTGACAAATGTAAACAAAAAAAATAAATTTTATTAATTCCAAGCGGATGAAGCCGCACTGGAACAGCTATCACATCATAATTCCTTACATTGTTCCAAGTGAAATTTACTTATAAAATGTAACATTAAAATGTAAGCAGCTAAAGTAGTAAAAATGTTTATGTTCCAAATGTTAAATTCTTTTTATTTGTAAGAAAATAACTTGTTATGTTGAGAAAAGTTACAAAACTGTGTGTTTCGTTCTCACAAGTGTAACTTTTTATTGCAGTAAGTTTTTTATACTGCGATCATGATTCGGCAAGATTTTTGCGAATTACTGTGTCATATACATTTATCCACGCATTTTAACTTGCAAATATTTTGAAAACATGCATATTATTTTATTAATAAAGACGATTGGGTTAATGAATAGTAGTTTCGTATACATTTTTTACATGAATATTTTACAATTTAATTTTCAACATTGTATTAACCAATAAATTATCTATGATTTTGTCATTTTTCATCTTACTTATATTATAAATAAAAAAGTGTAAATGAATGTATGGATATTTATTCAAAGATATCGTGAGAATAGCTCAATGGGTCCCGATGAAAGTCTGGAAGAGTACATAGGCTACTTCCTAATCATTTTTTAATTCCACGCGGCAGAATTCGCAAGTAAAAGCTAGTAAACTATATTTTAAGAGGCTTTTGTTCTTTGTAAATGTGAATTTAATCATTGCAATAATTATGCCTATTGTCGTGGCTAACAAATAATTATAAAGCATACCAAGTGAAAGGGAAATCGCAGTTAGATCTAGATAATAATAATACTTTCTTGGTACTTTCGAACATCGCAACCGATGACAATGAAAGTAATTAAAGTTTACATGGAAATAATTATACTATAAAATGGGGTAGAGACATATTTATAAAAATCTTAGGAAAAATCGATCTACCTTCATCAATCAATAAAGCCTGAGTTGTTTAGGGTTTACAATAAATTATAGCCTCTGCTTTGGAATAAAAAAAACTTGTAAAGTAGCCTGTGTTCTTCCAGACGGTGTTCTATTTCTACAGTATTAATAGAGAGCAGATCCACCATTTTGATGTCTTGTGGTAGCAAACATCCATCCATCTAAACTTTCGCAATTATAATATTAATGTCAAAATTATAATATGTTGAAAATATTGACGAGAAATTTAACATCAGTTAAGTATACAACATAATTTTAAATTCTTAGTATAAATAGTTTTTTTGTCATATTCGACGGACGCGACGTGTGCCCGGCCACTTTTGTCGGTTCATGACACATCTGTATCACTATATTTGTGTCTGTTTCCATTACCTCACGTTAACTGAAAATAATCACGTAAGAAGTCAATGTTGATAACTATGTCTCTATAAATATTGTTTTAAAGTCATGACTAAGGCTGACGTTAATACTTTTTGTTTGATATTTTTTTTCACATTAAAAAAAAAACTTGAAAGTAATTGAAAACAATAAAATTAAAAAAGATGTTCAAACAATACTGTTACTGCAAGTAATAACACTTATTATTTCATTAATTTATGTTAAATCAGTACTATAAAGAATATATTATTATAAAATTGCTATACAGTTTTAATATTGTCGTGTCGTATAAAGCAGTGGAAACACAACAAGTTCTATCGTAGCGCGACGCTAGGCATACGTTTAGTCGGTTCGCAGCTATCACTCAACGTATAGCAGACCGCGTAGCCTTTCTCGACAGATAAAAAAACTCTTTTCTATTGAGTTAAGGAGTTCTATTACTTGTAGTTAAAGAGTGTTTTGTGAATAAAGTGACTAATTTTGTTATTAATAATACAGTAAAGGTAATTTTTTACAACATTTCTTTATTTTTAAGTGTATTGTACATTTCGGATACAAAAAGTACGAAAGGTATAAGATTTTTTTATCATAGTTTTATAGATACAGTTTCGCAATTACCTTCATAAAACTGTTTCAACTGCAAAAATGAATTGTAATTAAATGGGGAACCTTTGTTTGAATACAAAATTATGTTCTAAAATTATTTTATTAATAAACAACAGTTGAATTCAAAAGTTAAATAATCATGTGTATGTTGAATTGCGAGTTTTTGGCAATTTCATATAACCCGTTACTTAGTTGAATAAATTATTTAAAGACGTTTGAAATGTGTAGTCGATACATTTCTAAAACACATTTTATTTTTTTTATAACTAGGTATGTTAAATTATTTCTTGTTTTGTTGATAACAAACGAAGTATAAAAGGGTTAGTCGTATTCGTACTTTTTGTACTTTCATTGTTAATTGTCTGTACAAATGTTTTTATTTAAGGTTTACCTTTTTTTGTTGTTTGTAGCTACATATTTACGCTTCGTATAATTTAAAGTGGAGTAGATGTGAGTTATATAGTATCCCATATTTAAATTTGTACAATATAAAAAACTGGTTTCTTGACAAGTGACCTTTTTCGTGCGGTTTTTTAATAGCTACTTTTTGCGGGGATATGAATAGAGAAAAATTGATTTATTCTCTCTTTAGTCATACTGTACCATAGCAAATTTGCTCAAATATCGATTCGAATACATACCATTTTTTCATGGCTTATCTAGATTGGCGGGTACAGTAAAATGTTGATGTGGTGAACTGTGCAGAATCTATTACTTCGCTAGGTAATAGTTTTTTCAACTACTCATTGTTGTTTGTGATGTGAAAAACAAAACCTTGTAAAATGGCATTATATTTTTTGTTATAGCATGTGGTATTTATATACTTAACACTATTAATGATGTGTAAATAATTGAACAAACGGATATGAACAGAAACTAAGAAATATCAAAATGTAAAGATACAATTTGCATAATTCAATGGGTGGTCGATGTTAATTATATTCTGTGTACTACAATTTCACGACTAGTTGAAAATAATAATAATAATAATAATAATAACTTTTAGTTCAAGCGTACAATCAGCTCATAAACTTGTTAGTAAGTTTCTTAAATTATGTGACAAACGAAAGACAAAGTGAAAACAGTAAATTATTTTTATGAAATTTTAATAACTTTAAAAATTGTATGTAATTAATATTTAAAGGTCGTTTTAAATACGATATTTTAACTACAACTTGTGGCTCATAACCGACAATGTAATTTTGTAGTTCCAGTCAACAGTGGGTTTAAGTGGAGTTAAATTACGACCGCACGCAAGTACATAAGTATTTCCCTTTGACGTAACCATTCCGGTTGAGTTACTAACACGCACAAATATTTTTCTTTGATGAAACGGTATTTGCTCTTTAAAATATTAAGGGATACATGTCTGTGTTGACTTGAGTTGTTTACTAAGGGAGTCTTTTCTAAAGACTTACAACGAAATTTGTGCACTAAGGCATTGATTAGGTAATTTTTAAGCTACGCTGATTATGGTTTTAAATTTGTTTTGAACTGTATAGTGTATACGGCCTACTGTATATTATATTTGTTTTGTGTCTTTGTTGATTACGGTTAAAATCTATCTTCAAAGATGTATTTAACATTTTCTGACACAAAAAAAAACCTTTATTTATATGTTTCTAAATAACTATTCGGTGATATTTTAAAAATTCAACCGAGTTATAAAAAGATAGTTTTATGATGTAACTAGTCCGAATTCATATTTAAGTCTGCAACGCATTCATTGTAATGCATTGCATGTAAGCTATCAAAAACTGCATCTAGAATATATAGAGCATAGAGCAGAGTTCCTCAAACTTTTTTGTGTCGTAGACCCCTTGCCATTTCCGTGTTGGGTAGACCCCCTACTTACCTGATATTGATTTCCCGTAATTTTCTAATTGTAGTGTAGTTTAGTGTTAAAAACTTCGAGTAAAAACATAATGTTAATTCATACATTTATTAATTGGATTTAAATTAAAACTACTGAAAATAGATAATGTATATGTTTTGATATTTTAAGATAGTATGTTGTAAGTAAACAGGTACTATCAATGTGTGTTGATATCTAATATCGTGGACCCCCATTTTCACTTCATGGACCCCCAAATTTTTTTTCGTAGACCCCCTGTAGGTTGTCATAGACCCCTAGCGGACGATATAGATCACTTTGGTAATCACTGGCATAGCGTTTGTGGGTGGCCCAATAGTTGACATTTTAATAAAACAAATGACTCTATGAATTACTTAAGGAGTCTCTTTTAGTTACTTTTTAAACATAAACTCAACGTTTTAAGACAACAAAATTAAATTAATGAACATAAGTTGTTAGCAAATCTATAAATATATATCAAAGTAATTTAATGTTTTTTTTTATAATACGACGGAATTTATAACTTGAGATTTTTACAGATGAGTAATTAAAATTATTCATAAAATACCTTTACTGACTGAAGTTACTTTACTGTACATTGTCAATGTTCAATTTATTGTACATTTGGTTTTAAAAATTTTTTAAACATTATTTTTTGTTTAAATTACAGGAACTAATCGATTGGAGCGATGCGGAATAGACTGGGCGTGATAAAATGGCGCATACGCGGTATCAGTGAGCGAAAGTTGAACACATCCGCACAATGCCGTGCCGACAGAAGCGAAATAAGTTTGTACTTCGTTAACTTTTTTGTTTGTACTTACGCTTTTCTCTTTTATCCCCATAACAACGTACCGCCTTTGTTTAATTAATATTTCAATATTTGACAGCAAACAAGAAGGAACCATGGTTAAATTAGATAATTTAAATAGTTACGTAATCGTTGGTCCGAAACAATCAATATTTATTACTATACTAGTTGTCAATCGCGACTCCAGCTGTCGGAAATTATAGTAGACTGTGTTCTTTAACACTTTACGCTTTTGATTATCGCACAACTGTTATGCGATTGTAGATTGTTTAGCAGCCCATTCCACTGTTTAGTTGCGCGACTAAAAATCGAGTAGTGTACGCACCTCTCTGTAATCTTATAGGAATTAAAGTGGGACTAAACAGTTGTACTATATTTTAGTCGAAGGTGTGGGCGCGCTCTTAAAGAGATCCATACTGTTGTTTGGGAGATACATAGTAACATTAGTAAGATTTGTGTTAGTTAACCGAGGCATATACCCATCTCACACTGGAATATAATAGTTGAAAAGCGAATTATTAATTCTTTTGTTTACTAGCAGTAGTTTTTTTGTTAGTACATTACTCATTGTATATTGAACTTTATTTCGCAGACGCTAATGTACAATGTCCGGTGCAAGGACATCGTGCGCGGTCTACACACGCAGCTGTCGGCTCGGTATTCGACACCGTGTCTCCGTCAGTCAAATCCTGGGAGGAAGTGCCTGGTCCTAAACCTTTGCCGTTACTTGGCAATACTTGGCGCTTTGTACCTTATATTGGTAAGTCTAATTTTACTTATATTATTATCGACATTATTGAAACATTTAAGGACACCTTAGGATCCTGTAGAAGCTTCTATATATTGTGACTCTCCTATTTCCTTTTGTTGTTTTTCTTATACACAAATTTACAGACAAATTGGTAATCGTAACCGTACCTTCTTTAACAATCACAAATTGTTTTAATGTAACAGGATTTATTAGTAAAATGGTTTATGTACATATTTAATTTCTCCTTACTCTGACCACAAAAAGAAATGCCCATTGTATGTAATAAGAGCGCACATCTCTGATTAAATTGTGCGATTGTCGATTGTTTTGCATCCAATTCAACTGTTTAGTTGCATAACTATAAATCAGTAGTGTGCCCACCTCCGTATAAGCACATAGGAATCAAAGCGATACTAAACAGTTCGATAATTTAGTTTCATGTGTGGACAAGCTCTTAGTGTGACGATTTACAATTTGTGTACATTCCATTACGCCTAGTAGTAATTAGTACAGTTTCTCATAATACAATCGTGTTATCTTTACGTTGTTTGTTAACGTCAATAAAATGCATTGCTTCTTTCGTAAGCACTTAATGTGATCCGCTACTGGAATACAAATTTATTTCATAATAAAATGAATCGCTTACAAAAATACAGAAAATTAGGACAAGGCTGTTGTTTTAATTCAATGCGTGTGTCGATTTAAGGTCGGTGACATTCTTAATGTGTGTTCAAATTTGTATCTATGACGGAAATGCTCAGTGAAATCTCTCATACTTTTTCTCTTAAGGTAATAAATTCAGTTTAATTTAGACTTTTAGTTAGGCTAATAAGGTTCATTCATATCTCAAGTGTATATAACGTCGATTTACATATAATTCGTTTTAACTGTCCGTGATTTTGTACTGCCAACGACTTTCTGGATTAACAAAAGTCAAAGGCGTAGTCTGTAATTAAATTAAATGTCAAGAGTGTTAAGACAGTTACAGATATGTAAAACTGGTTTTCGTTATGATGAAATGACGTATAATAACCAACAAAACAATTAATGGAATTATTTTTATGTATACTTCTATGAGTTGTATTTCAAAATAACTTGCAAAGATTATTTTGTAAGTAAACAATTACCGGTATCCAATTATATTTCTGCGTAATTTCATCAATCTTACTAATATTTTAAATGCGAAAGTTTAGATGGATAGTGTAATCTAAATTGCTGAACGGATTTCGATGAAATTTAGCATAGACGTAGAGGATAGCCTAGAAGAACATAGGCTACTTACTTTTTTAACTCAACGCTGATGCAGTCGCGGGCGAAAGGTGGTTATTTTATAAGGGGAAGTATTAGAAAAATAATCATTGTTAAATATTTGTTTACAAGGTGACTGACGTTATGCAGTATGAGGAGGTATAAAATTCGGATCAGCGTTGATTTCACATAGTACCTACACTATGTTCTCTGTGTAACATGGTTCTTTACAACGCGTAATGTCTGCACACAGCTATACAATAAGTAACGTAATATAAAGTAATTTGAAATATATTTTTAAATAATTATTCAGCAGTGGATTTAGCAATCATATTGGCCTGGAAATATTAATATACAGAAAAGATGCTGTAAGGCCGTTATAAAGATATTTTAAATGTAAAATTTAGAAACGTTAAAAGTCGTTTATCATCAAAGAATAGAATTATACAAAAGACTGTAAAAATTCTCATAACGCTATTGTTCATTTGCGGGTTTACGCTCTTTTCAAATCCATTTGTCTTTTGTGTTTACAGTAAGAATCGCTTAAGATTTTTAAATTAACTTTGACATGTATTTCTACAGCGTTTGTAGTACGTAGATTATTGAAATTGTTCACTTTATTAAGGATTTTGTTAATATCGTTAAGCCGACTGGCTTTTTTTTTATTCGATTGAATAAATTTATAAGCGACAATTTGTAAGATTTAATTTTCCAACAGTGGTACAATAAAAAATACAAAAAATACAATCAGTATATAATAGGGTATGAAAAGTACATATAATATATGTCTTAATAGTATATGTGTTTTTATTATGTCTTTTCAGGTGGATATTCTGTGGAACATGTGGACAAAGTATGTTTGTCATTACGTGAGAAATTTGGCAAATGCGTCAAGATGGCAGGCCTTCTCGGCAGACCTGATATGCTGTTTGTTTTTGATGCTGGAGAAGTGGAAAGAGTGTTCAGAGGAGAGGATTCAGCCCCACATAGGTACTTGAATATATTGGTTGAGATATTGAGATTGTTTTGGTGTGTTCACAATTGTGATCAAATGTGCTCTGGCAATTTTAATTTCACAAACTAAATTACAACATTATATTACAATACTAAATGCAATAATATCTGATTTTAAATTAATATTATAGTTACTATAGAAGCAAAATATCTACATTTCCGATTAAAAGATAAATGCGCCTGAGCTATTATTATAGCAAAATTTTATTATCATTTTTTCAAATCATTCTTTTATTTTAAATTTTTACGGGAATATTAGATGTTTAAGTTATACATAAATCAACTATAACTTTTCAGGCCCTCAATGCCGTCTTTAAATTACTATAAGCACACACTTCGGAAGGATTTCTTCGGTGCTGAAAAAGATTGCGCGGGTGTTATTGCTGTGTAAGTATTTGTTTTCTTATTTCTTATTTCCTTTCATTATGTTTATACTAATATCATAAAGAGGAAAACTTTGTTTGTGAGTTTGTAATGAAATAGCTCAAAAACTACTAGGCCGATTTCAAAAATGTTTTCACTAAAAAGCTACGTTGTCAGTGAGTAACATCGGTTATGTTTTATATTATTTTTTTTAATTCTCGCGAACGCAGTCGCCGGCTAAAGCTAGTTATTTCTAATAGTTAAGGGTTTTAAATCTTTTTCTTTTATTTTCCTTAGTCATGGTGATTCCTGGGCTGCATTTAGAACCAAAGTGTCAAAGGTTGCATTAAGCACAAGCAGTGCTGCACAATACACAGTTCCAGTAGCTGAAGTCGCTGATGCTTTTGTTAATAGGTAATGTTTATAATTTTAAACTTTGCTAATACTTTCGATGAATGAAACTCTGCAAGTGGCGCCTTTTACTTTTTTAAAACTATTTTGTCTAACACAAAATTCACTCTCTGTATTTCTACAGGCTCTAAAACTTTTTTAAATTCGTGTGTTATTTTCCTCAGAATTCGTGAAATACGAGACGAGAACTCCGAAACGCCAGGTGACTTCTTAAATGAAGTTCATAAATGGTCTTTGGAGTGTAAGTAATAAAAAATCTGTTAATCCTGATTCTTGCTTTGTCTCATTTAAAAAAATGTTTTAAAATCTGTTAACTTACGACTAATTAACCAATCCCATATTTCTAGCAATATTATTTACTACCTTTCGCCATGGATTGCGTACGCGTGTAATTAAAAGAAAAAAAAAGTGTGTAGGCTTTGTGTTCTTCCATATTTTCCTTTACATTTATGCCAAATTTTATAAAGATTCGTTCAGAAGTTTAGGCTACAAACTCTAACAAACATCCAACCATTCATACGTCCAAATATTCAAATTTTTAATATTAGCAAGACTAGCTTCTGCATGTTATAATTTTAACTAAGCGGTTAGCGCGCTTCTCCTTCTTTACAAAATATATGCGGTATAGTAATTATTATTTTGTGTTCACAGCTCTAGGTTTAATAGCATTAGACACAAGGTTGGGTTGCTTCCAGTCAGTCGAAGGTTCAGAGAGCCAGCGTCTTA